ATGAAACGTGGTTCCCATCCGCATGCCTCCCGGTCTTATTCCTTCGGGTTTACACTGGATATGGGGTATGTGGTTGGAGCTGTGGGTGGTGCAGCGCAAGCCATCCATGGTCCCTCTGTAGGCGCAGGCGTCCTGTGGCTTGCCACAGTGACAGGCAAATCCGAAACCGGATGCCGCCAACCATGCAGAGGTTGATGTTGCATTCTTGATGCTTCTTCACCGCAGTTGGGCTAAACCAACTTACACTTAAACTAGGTCTTTTTAAGCTGGATAAATTTCATTCCGCTTTATTTGGTTTGTTCTGCCTCCCTGAATAATGTTCTATTAACTGGCCACGTTGCTTACACAAATTGCGCTTATCTTCGGTAATTTTGTTGCGTTTGTAGCATTTGAAGTAACTTGTGGACATTTCTTACTTATCACGGATTTGTTGCTGACCAAATTCCTTCATATGGTAATTTAGCGAAGAGTTATGCCACCGTATCTGTATGCATTATTGGATTTATTTTATTTCAGCTTGTCGTTTAAATTGAATGGCTGTTGTTTGATATCCCTGGTATGGTTGCGCTTGATGTGTATGTTGACAAGGTGCCTACCTGTCTATTACCCACTACATCGTCCATACTGGCTCCAGGAGACAGTTGGTCGTTGCTGGAGGGGACGGGGTGCACGGTTCTTGTGGCCGTGCTAGGCTCAAAGAGCGGTTCCATGCACTCAGTGTGGAGTGGACTACGGTCCAGCCACCGCCTTGTTTGCGGTTTATTCCCCAACTACAGCGTGCTTGTGTTTGCCTGTGAAGGAGTGTGGGCCGGCTCCGTTGATGAAACGTGGTTCCCATCCGCATGCCTCCCGGTCTTATTCCTTCGGGTTTACACTGGATATGGGGTATGTGGTTGTAGCTGTGGGTGGTGCAGCGCAAGCCATCCATGGTCCCTCTGTAGGCGCAGGCGTCCTGTGGCCTGCCACAGTGACAGGCAAATCCGAAACCGGATGCCGCCAACCATGCTGAGGTTGATGTTGCATTCTTGATGCTTCTTCACCGCAGTTGGGCTAAACCAACTTACACTTAAACTAGGTCTTTTTAAGCTGGATAAATTTCATTCCGCTTTATTTGGTTTGTTCTGCCTCCCTGAATAATGTTCTATTAACTGGCCACGTTGCTTACACAAATTGCGCTTATCTTCGGTAATTTTGTTGCGTTTGTAGCATTTGAAGTAACTTGTGGACATTTCTTACTTATCACGGATTTGTTGCTGACCAAATTCCTTCATATGGTAATTTAGCGT